CCATGTCATTTTTTGAGTAGGCTATTGTTGTCTGCAATTCCCATTGTCCGGATCTCCGAGTTGGAAATCGGTGAAATAAAAAAACAAATAAATAAGTATGCAGTTCTGTTTCAATCCACTGCTGGCCACCACCCAATGCTATGTTTGTATTGGGGGGGGGGGGGGTTTGACCATACTTCACCTTGTTGGTCAATGTGGATTGGTTAAGGAGGGGTGGTGGGGGGGAGGGTTAAGGGACCAGTTTCTATTATACTCACCACGTCGCTGACGCTAACCATGAGCTGTGAATGAAACCTTAGGTCAACCAGGTTTCTAATGCAGTGCCGCTAACCATTGCACGGCTGCCCCAGCCCTGTTTAGTCACGTGACATGTGTTTTCTGTGTACCCGGCCCAGGTGCCGCTTACAAGGGAGAAATTGCATCTCAATGGGTTCTCATCTGGGATTTCATTTGGCCATAATTACACAAATGCAAATGCAGCCACTATTATCGAGCACCGCCGCACGTGTATTTACCTATTTAGAATAAAAGGCAGATAAAGAGAACGCCCGACAGTGTTATTATTCTATCCATTGCGTTAGTTCAAAGCAGTCGGGGTTAATAAGACAGATCTCAAATTATGACTATACAGCCCGTTGTTAAAAATGTCCCAGACATTTGTATACATGTTTTGAAATGAACGATTTTGTGGCTCCTTAATCATCAAACACAAATTATTCAGCCAGATCTATTGAGCATTCAAAACAAAAAATACCGCATTCTGTGTGTATAACCATAAAGTGGTCGAAAAAAATAGTGTCTAAAAAGATAGATAAATTAATAAATTTACATCCTATTTGTATCTCCAGATAGGATGCCAACAGGCAGATAGGCTGCCAACAGCCAGGCTTATCTGTTGGTTCTCTAAACTGTGATCCAGCAACAATTGTTGAAGCATGCAAACTCCGGACCAGTTTCAACTTTCTGGATCTCATCCACATATTTCAGGCATGTTAAATACCACTCGTGTAACATATGCTGTTGGCAAACCTTGGAGTCATCAGCATAAATAAACAATATTGTTTAACAACTCATTATGCCCCATTGCACAGCATGATAAGAAATAACATCATGGGTCTTGAAGCCAGTCTGCAAGAGCATTGGTTTGAGCACTGCACTATAGTATGGTCAAACAACTCCCACGATCACCATATTATTGTATATTTATAGGACGGCTTTACTCAACACGCTTAACATAGTTTAAACAACGGTGACACGTTTTCTTTGGGTCTTTGGGTAAAGTCACGTAGATAGAAATAAAAATATCACGATGTTTCGATCGCAACGCAAGCAATCGTCATCCGCCTGATAACGATTGCTCACCTGATGACGATTGCTTGCGTTGCGATCGAAACGTCGTGATATTTTTATGATTTGTTCTATCTACGTGGCTTTACCGATAGACCCAAAGAATATGAATTTCTGCAGTCACGAAAGCTTTAAGTCAAGATTTAACGATAGAAATTATTTAGATGGCATGGGCGTGCCTTGGTTGAGGAATGAGTTACCGCGACGGAGCGGTGTTTAAGATTCACGGAAGGGTAAGGGAGGGACGGGGAGGAGTGGTGGGACTAGAGGAGGGGTAGAGGAAGGGAATGGGCAATGGAGAAGACGTCAAGATTTAAGAGAGGAATGGAAGGAGGTTACGGAGGGGGACTGCTTAATGTACAAATGGCATAGAGAGGCCTTCATCCAGCAGTAGATTGTCAAAGGACATGAAACATTCTAGGCCTGGAAGGTATTCATATGAAGACACGGAATGTTTTTATTTATTTAATTCATCACCCAGAATGCCCCACATAATCAAAGAAGACAATCAAAGCAGGCATGGGGAAGAATACACGGAAATTGAAGGAGGATTTGTCCACTCACCAAGGTTGTGGGGAGGCATTTTTCCCATTAGTTTGTAGCACTATATCAGAACACTCGAGTAAAATCATGCGAAAGAAATCAACAAAATTCAGCATGTGTTCTCAATGCAGCCCGTGCCATTTCCACGCCGTCACTTTGAGTGGACCCAATGCGTAGATTCGGAACAACGGAGAAAAAGAAACCCCCAAGCATGCCAGACACAAAAAGGTTGATAAAGCCTCTTAATCTGGTAATATAGTAGTTGGAAGTCTGCTGCCGAACCTCCTCACCTCTGCGCGTATTGGCACATAAGCCTCGGCACACACGCACCACTCAATTCACTTAAGCTCAAGGCATCGGCACTGCTGAGCAACAGCACACCCTTTGCACGCACCGTCACCCAAACACGCACGTCCACACAATCGCACGTCCACAGGAACACGTGTCCTCTTTGACCCTTCCGTGAGCGCATAATATAACCCGCGCTTCCGAAACAATGTCAGCAAAATTTGTGAACCTAAAAAGAAAAGTCATCAATCAAAGGTCAGCACGAGCTGTATTCTTACAGCAAGGTTAATAACAGATGTAAGCGCAGACCACCTTCCATTCTGTGTCTCCGCATACAACACACACACAATATTGTTCATTCCCTCGGCCTATTGGCTTTCCGCAGCAATATAAACCAGCAGAATTTGTCTTCTTGGTTCGTTCGGTAAAGTCACGTAGAATGAAAATAATAATAAAAATAAAACATAATAAAATAATTCTCACGACGTTTCGGCCACAACGCAAGACCTGGTCTTCACCTGAGGACGGCTGCTTGCGTTGTGGTCGAAACGTCGTGAGAATTATTTTATTACGTTTTATTTTTATTATTTTATTATTTACATTCTACGTGACTTTACCGAAAGAACCAAGAAGATGAATCCCTGCAGTCACGAAAGCTTTAAATCGAAATTCAGCAGAATTTGTTTAAGAAAGCGCACTCGGGACCAGTATCGGCCTTCTGGGTCGCATCGGTGCTCAGGGTTGTTAAGACTGTTGGGATTACACGTAGCAGCAATCAAAGCCCTTCTACTGCTGGCAGGCTGATGATGTCCACGAGTAGGCCCAGTCACCTTGTAACGGCACAGAGACAGCTGTCATTTTGAGGTCCCCCTTCTGAATAGTTTGCGGTGAGATGTCATATCAGACACTTTGAGTTGCTGAGGCATTTCATTGCCCTATAAATACGCACACAAAGATGATGTCCTTTGACAAAGTAGGGGGCACTTCTCATAATGGTGCACGAGAACGCAATACATTTTTTGAGTACAACAAGTTTCGCCCGTGACTGGGGTAGACGTTGGTCAAGAATGCTCAGCGTTTATCTCTCCTTCGTATTGCTGGGTCTGTTGCCGCATGCTGGTTTACGTGATGTCCGATGTTTCGGCGAGCCTTCACAGCACAACAGCAAATACTTGGCACGAGCACGCGGGTAGCACGCTATCCATTGCTTAGGGGCCGTCCATAAATGACGTCACGCACCTGGTGGGGGGCGGGGGGTCAGACATTTGTGACGATGTGTGACGAGGAGGAGGGGGGGTGAGAAAGGTGACCTCACATCAAAATGCGCAACTTTAAATAAATATACACAACACGTTCTACTTAATTCAATCGACTTTTTAATAAATGTTTTCTCCTACAACATCAGAGTGCAGCGCCACATTAAATACGCACTACAATGACAATAGTTTAAAACGATTTGAAGCATGTTTTATTTGGGGGGGGCAGAGCTTTGTGACGTCATTATTGAGGGGGTGAGGTCTGACTTTTTGTGACGCCGTGTGAGGAAGGGGGGGGGGGTCAAAAATCGTGCAAAATCGCATGACGTCATTTATGGACGGCCCCTTAGGCTATTCTGTGATTTTGCGGCCTCAATAAAACCACCCCGCTCAACGCCAGTTATGTAACCTGTTTACATTGCAGCGTACTTTACGAGTGCCTTTAGGCTTCGCGATGCTCACAAGGGTTACGCACTCTTGCCCCACCCCCTCCCCCCTTATTTGAGCATCAGACGTGGGGGTGGTGGGGCGGGGGGGGCTTTTGGCTGTCTTCAATTTCATGAAATGTTTTCGTCAGTTTGCTGCTGGCAGTAGAACCTGAAACTGATGTTGCCTGGTTCAAATAGCATTTCACTCAACCGGAATTGTGGTTGGCACTGTTCAGCCATAAAGAAAGCTCCCACCCCCTCCTCCCTACTTCTGTGCCAGGCATGAGATGTGCAATAAAATTCGCCTTCTGTCCCAGCAGCTTAGAATGCATTCCACTTGACTTCAGCCAATGACATACGATAAGTCCAAGGGAGTTCACTTTTGACACGGTGCAAGAGCAATTTGCCGGGGTGTTTTGTTAGTTGTTGTTTACACACGTATTGATCGAACTCTTATTGTTTTTGTTCCCAGTTGCTGACGTTTTTGTTGTTGTTGTTCTCATACTGATGGATGTTTTTTGCGGTTTACTTTTAATTTCACACAAGTCACGTACAATTTTTGGTTTAAAGTCGGTCTAAATGGTATTGCATAATGGATGTTTAAAACAATCTGTGGAATTTAATCCAATTTGTATTTTCGTGATCAACTTAATAATTTGATATTTGATTCATTCTACTAACGAATTGTGAATTTTGCTTAACTCCTTTTGAAAAGCTTATTTGTCAGTGACCTTCATGAAAATATCTTGCTGTGTAACGCCTTATTTGGCTTATTCTCATTAAACTATCTTTGGACTCCCTTTGCTTAAATAGTTTGCCAAGGAGAACAACTAACACTACCCTTCAACTCAGACTAACATTGCATTGGTAAAAAATAAAATTCTATAAACACCGTCGCCTACTTGCTGGTCTGCTTCCACTCACTGTCTCTCCCTTTCGCTTCGACTAAAGTCGCATGCCAATTGTAATCAACGGCACAGGTTCAACATTTTCTTAACGCCGTTTTGTGAAACGTCAACCCGAAAGCGCTCAACACACGGAGAGAGCCAGTGAGATGGATAATGACCTGTTTGCCTCTTCTTCTGTTGTTGTACTCTGCCTCTTTTACACGTAGCTACTACTACCCCTTCCACTCCAGGGTCTGGGCACAAGCGCGCCTGCAACGAGACGGAGCGGGGCTATTGCGTCAACGGAGGCCGCTGTTTCGTCGTCGAGGGCACTGACATCTACACCTTCTCTTGCGTGTGAGTCGAACGCACGGCAGACGCCCGGAACCGCCGTCGCGCCTCGCGAAAATGAACGCTGGAAAAATATTAGTGGGAGAAACGCGCCCGTGCGCATGTGTACCCGGTACATATTTGTATCCTTTCAGTGAAAAGTAAATTTTTATTTGGAGTGTTGTAAAACTTTGGCGGTGTAATATAAAAAAAAATGCCTTTTTTTCTCTTACCTTCGCTTTCCTTGCACTCTGTATTTTCACTCAGCTGCCTTTCATCTCTGGCTTAAGAGATAGACTACTTGTTATATAACGCATTGAAAATGAAAATCTTCCTTTAATGTGTACTCTTCAGAGATGAGTTATTGCAGTGCTCAATTTTTGAGAGTAGGTACAGGAAATGCGTTTTACATTCTGCGCATTGCACTGTTCCGTTCTTTGCTATTTCACAGCGTGCGGCATATGTAACGGATGAAATGAATATTTTATTCTGCTTCCCACAGTGTTTACTAACCGCTTCTTATGCAGCTTCGCCAAAATAGCTTCACACTGGTAATGCGTCCCTGCTACGACAGCTGTGATGTTGGAAACGCCACGCCGTGCCACCCCATGGAAACACACACACACACACGCTCGCTCGCTCTCTCTCACCCACTGCATGCTCGGTACAAGGTTCCCAGAATTATTTGATCTTCCGTACTTTTTGTTTCCCTACCAGCGACTCTTAAATGCATCGCAGTTCACTTACACGACCACTTTGCTTTCGACAATTTTACAGCGGCTCATCGTCATTCGTTTTTTAACCTCCGCAAGTATTCCTTATCATCTTTTTTTTCATCACCACTAAATGTTCTTCTTGGGTGAGCTTGGCCCATATCTTTTTGTGCCCTTACTTCTTTCATCTTCTTGACAATTTCAAAAAAGCTGTGTGCTTTAGAATGTTCAACATCTTCCCTCAAAACCTGATTCCATTGCGAAAAAAGGTAAGTCAAAAGTGCGTGTGTTATTGTTACAATGGACGATGTTTAAAAAGTTGTTGTTGGTGCGAAATGTGTTTTTTGTATTTTTTTGTTGTCGCAATGAATTGAAACTATGAAGTGAAAAGAATTAATCAAATTTGTCAAGCTTATGTTGTGATCCTATTGAGATATTCCCTTTACTCAGTTCACTATACTTCCCAGCTTTTGTGTATGCCTCCTATTGCTCTTACACTAACAATCCACCTGGTAACACTTTCCATAATAACAATATTAACCTCTGCTTGTGCTGTAAATATCATTCTCGTAAATTGAATCACGTAATCCACAATTACCACCTCTACATATTTGGTCCTTCTCCCTAAATCTATTTTAATTAATATGCTGATGCAATTTCTGGTCACGCATATTTGTAATGCTCCAGATGTTTAAACAATAAATTACGCATATGACAATTTAACTGTAATGGAGACGATATGACCCTAATTAACAGGGTTATAGGTTATTTGGCTCATTCAATTGCCAGAGCACAGACTCCTGATCAATTCAGTTATATTGATACAGCGATCCAAATTAAACTAAATACTACGGAACGACACGACGCAGTCAAGAAATACAACATTGCACCCACTCAGACATAATAAAGATGCAACACAAAAATGGGCCAAAACATAATGTTCCTCAAACAGGTCTAAAAAGACGACGTGGTCAAATATCCTAAATATATATTTTTACGCTTTATCATGACAGAAGATGGCCTGCATATTAATGGCTTTGGGTCACACTTATTTAACACCAGAATGATAAAATTAGACAATTTTTTTCATCCAATTAGCACTGCAATTCCCAATGTTACTTGTGATATTTGGGTATTATATGAATCTACTTGTCTTACCAATATCAATATGGAAGACAAATTTGGTGGCAGGCAATGTATGCGAGGAATGTAGTTTGCCACTTAAATACACATTTTAATGTTTACAAATACTTTATTGAATTAAATGCAATACTGTCAGTTTTGTCTGTTATCCCAGATCAGGCTGTGGTCATAGGTAACTAGGCAATGTCTAATAGTATTATCAGTGCATATACAATTGACTTATTTATTATGAATATCTTTCATTGAATACCTTTATATAGTTTGGCAATGTGTGTACATTTTATTGACTAGAAAGCACATTTTGTGTTGTTGAGGTCATCCTTTATCCATCCTACATTCTCAAATCAATTGGACATGATGTTTGCACATAAAAATCAGGTGGCTCTTCGGATCATGTATTTATTTTTCATTAGCACAATGTTTGCTGAGGAAAAAAACTAGAATTGACTATCAGGCCTCGATAGAGCATGTAGCCGTGTTCCATCAGCGTGATGGATTTTGCTTTTTAAAAAGCACATGGGCCTAAAGCAACTGCAAGGTACAGCGAGATGCAAAAGCACTGTGAGCAGGTGAGCTATTCATAGGTCACGGAAGCTCATCTGGCTTGATTGAAATTAAATAGATGTATGTGAAACATAAAAAAAACCAGTTATCTTTATTCATGCATAATACAGTAGCTGGTTTTAAGCACATCCGTTTTTATTTTTAAGTAGCGCATCCTCACATTACACTGGTGGGGAGGTGATGTAAAATGTTAAACACATCGCATTATGTATGACTAACAAAATACAACTTTATGAATGTAGGTACATCAATAGGGCAGAGGATGTTGCATTAACCTCCTTCCTCACCGCCCCCATCCCACCCCCATTATTATTCCGATTGTGCTATGCTATTGATATCGTATCACATGACCAAGAATCCATTCGGACCTCTCCCAGAGCAACGCGCACGCCTTAGTGGTAAAGAACGGCGGATGGAAGCGGATATCACGCAGCGACCTCTGACACCCCTTCAAGTGACCTTTCATCCGCAATGTTTGGGGGGAATATTTTTTTCCTCCCCATTTTTCCATGCCATTGAGAGAAATGTCTGTCGCATGACAGTCAAACTGGAAATGGTAATTCCCATAGCTGGAATTTAGCCAAACCAAGTGCGGAACAATATTTAATGTGACGGATCGGCGGGGGGGGGGGGGGGTGTTTCTTGTACAGTAATTTTTGACCAGAATAAGACCATCAACCATCTATACTTAAGATACCCGCGTTTAAATACATGTGGCTGCCTTGATAAGAATCCAGGATCTCAGCGACGCCAGCTTGGTTGCTCTAAACTCCGAGCCACATGGCCACGTCGTTGGAAAATGATTCTGCTTTGTAGAAAGCTGAATAAGAAAATCGGTGTAGTGGAGCCAACAGCTACATCAAACAAATAATCGTGCTCGAAGAGTCCACGAATATTATTATCATCACGATTTTACAATGTTTTACACCGGGTTTTTTTTATTGAGCACGGCAAACTTTTTTCCCACACACGGGTCGTTTTATTTGTGCTTGTCGCGCTTCTGCGGCCGCGCTCCAAATGTATCTGCCATCTTTTTGGTTCTTTCGGTAAAGTCACGTAGAATGGAAATAATAAAATAATAAAAATAAAACATAATAAAATAATTCTCACGACGTTTCGGCCACCACAAGCAGCCGTCCTCAGGTGAAGACCAGGTCTGTCGGGGAGACAGCGTCTGAATGAAACACCACCACGCTTGGAGCGTATATTTAAGCTGGGTTGGAAGGGGGGAAGTGCGCCTTAACAAAATAATTTGCATATCAAGAGGAATTTAGCATGCTTATTTGGTTTTTTCGGTAAAGTCACGTATAAAAATAAAATAATAAATTAAATAAGAGCATACGACGTTTCGATTGCAACACAAGCAACCATCATCAGGTATAATGAAATAGCGACATAGAATATAACCAGAAAACTATAGACAGACATATAAGCAGACAGATAGCACCAAGATACATAGAGAGAGCAACGTCGTATGCTCTTATTTAATTTATTATTTTATTTTTATACGTGACTTTACCGAAAAAACCAAAGAATGATTCCTGCAGTCACGAAAGCTCCAAAGTTAAGATTTAATTTAGCATGTTTATGGGAAATGCAGGTATGTGATTAGTACTACTTGTGAAATGCATAGGAGGTGGGTGGGGGGTTTCAAAGTCATATTATGCCCGTGCATTATGCAGGATTAGCAGCATCAAAGGGAGGGGATAGGGGTAGCATTAATAAAGGGAAGGAATGTTAATAGTATGTAGCTGCAGTAACTAAACAACCACGTAAAAAACTAAAGTATAAACTACATAGTATCATCAGTATACTAAATATACTCTCCAATAAGGGAGCATGGGATAGAAGATGAATCCCTGTAGTCACGAAAGCTTTAAATCGACATGTATCGGCCATTCCCGATCGACCGCGAGATTCCTTGCGAAGATGTTGATGATGCTGCTGCCGCGGAAGAACAACGCTCGGTGCCATCTTGACCCCTCCACCCCACCTTGTCTCCCAAGCGGCCCATCGCGGGTCACCGGGTCACGTGGGGTTGCCAGCCTTCAGTGAGGAGGCAGAAAACTTCAGCCGACGATTTGTGTGCGGTTGAAGTACTGTACTGTACACAGCTATACTTCTATTGGGGGGGAGCATGGGATAGAGTGGTGAGCGCACTGGGTTATGAACCAAATGAGCTGATCTTCTTGGTTCTTTCGGTAAAGTCACGTAGAAGGGAAATAATAAAATAATAAAAATAAAACATAAAAAATAATTTTATAAATAATTTTATTATGTTTTTTCGGTAAAGGCACGTAGAACGGAAATAATAAAATAATGAAAATAAAAGATAATAAAATAATTTTATAAAATAAGACATAATTATTTCTAAGACATAATAAAAGAATAAAAATATAACATAATAAAAATATTTTATAAAAAATTTTTATTACGTTTTATTTTTATTATTTTATTATTTCCCTTCTATGTGACTTTACCGAAAGAACCAAGAAGATGAATCCCTGCAGTCACGAAAGCTTTAAATCGAAATCAAACGACCTGAGTTTTATTCCCAAACATGGCCACCCCTACACCCCCACCTTCACCAAACCCGCACTGACCAGC